TTTGTTCCGTGTTTTATTATATTGATGGGAAACACTTTTGTATTGAGTTTTCATTTTTTCAGTTCTATACCGAAAGGGAAAAAAATACCCATAAAGTAGATACATTTTACCCCAAAAGCTGTATGCATAACTAAAAAAAAAAATAACTCAATGGTAAGGTACATTTTTTTTTCCGATACCATTGTCACATAATTCTTCTAAATACTTAACACTCTGATACTTTGCAGCGAATTCGCGCTCTCATTTTACAAAATTATCAAATTCAACTAATTTGCTTTTTTACTTACTTATTATTACTTAATTTTTTATTTGGGAAGTATTGACTTATGCCTAAATATATTTATATTAAACAAGAATGATATTCGTAAATTATAATTGTCATTTTAAGACCTTATAATCAACATATATTGAAAAATTAAGTAGTTTGTCACACAGTTGTGCATGATATTTATTTTTTATATATTATTTTTATTAAATTTTATGGGAGAATTTGTATTTGTATACATATAATATGAGGCTCTCAAAGCATTCATACTCAATTTTTATTAAAATTTTTCACTTTTATGCTCTCATTCTTACTCTTGCTCCTACTCTATATGATCTAGGTCAAACCCATATGCTACAAGCTTATTTGATAGTGGATGAAATAGAAATAGGGTTAGATTTAATTTGTTTACCCATTCCAATACCAACCTTTTGAATTTCAAATCTTACTTATCTTGGATAATACCCATGTTTTATCCCAACTCATGTTTTGTAACCAACAATTATAGATATGTAGGGCCCACGAATTTTATATCAAATCAAAGTATAATAAAAAATAAGAATAACCCATTCTTGTTGGCAAAAGCAAAGACACAAAAAGTAATATTGCTGCTAATTGTACCAACTCCTCATTTAACCCACCTCGAAATGGGTTCAAGATAATCTTTGCATAGCTACAATGGGCTGTAGCAAATGGGCTACGAATCATGATATTATATAACAATAATGACGTAATATCGTAATATTATTAATTTTTTATTCCGAGGGTAGGCAATGGATAGATTGACCCATATAATTGGTATTTCCCTAGTTTGTAAGGTTTGTCCCTTAGAGTCGATTTCAAATCATATTTTTGTTATCAAAATACTTTAAGGGACCAATTGTATCAAATGATATCCCAATTTAAAGCATATTTCATGCTAAGTATCAATTTTTAATTTTGCAATATAAGATTGATTAAATGTTATAACTCTTATTTGTATTTTACTTCTTATTGGTGCTACTAGGCATCTTCTCCGTCCCCCAAGTGATTGATATCTATTTCTTTTTCTTGAAGCGAATGTACCATCTTTTGATCACACTTACAAGAATGGGAGGCATAGTTTATGTGTATTTAGAGTTTGCTTAGTTCTCCAAAAACGCTAAGAGTAAGGAAATTGGGAAACCATAAGAGAAAGGCAATAATCATGTACACTAGTTTTTGGTTTTCTATGTAATTTGCAAAGCAACAAGAAGTAGGGCATTCCAAACTCCAAATTTGATATGTAAATCACTTGTATTCGAACAATCAAAAAAAAAAGAAGGGTTTTTTTTTTGCACTTTATATTCTGAAAGATTTTAAAAATTTTAATTTATATATTTAAAGATTAAATTTCTCATATTATACTCTCAATATATCGAAAGTGTTACAATATGACCCTTCTGTTAGCTTCCATTATTCTTTTTGTTAAAAACTAATCCATTGACACTGACAAAAAAATTAATGGAAAGTTAAAGAAAATGTTACATTATAATATTTTTAATACATTGAAACTATAATATGAGAAATTTAATCTTTGAGGGTGCAAAATAAAAATTTTAAAATCTTTTAGAATACAAAATATAACTTGCCCAAAACCAGAACTTATTATAGATAGTTACATACTCATAGACTCATAGTAAAGGACTTTATTTTTTTATTTGATGAGAACTTCGTTACATTATTACATGAGAGCAAGAAGGATTGAACCCCACATAGGGTTTCGTAGGGTAGACCATGATTTTTTTTTTCTTAACAAAGAAACCTTCAAAGTGAAAACAATCAAGTTCAAGGCCCTAAAAGTTAGGGGTGTCAATTTGTGTCACGTCGTGTCGTGTGAATCGTGTGTTGATATTTTGTATTATATAATTATTATTTTTGTTGTGTTCGTGTCAAGACCTACAAAATTTTTATTTAATTGTTGTATTCTAAGTAACAAATATTAATTTAGACAATTTATTTTACATATTTATTAATCGTGTTAATTTTAAAATTATGTCGTGTCAGTTGAATATAAGCGAGTCAAAATTGCCGCCCTTAATAAAAGTAAGAGTCAAGAGGACTGCATTGGAACTTAAAATAGTCCATATTGGAACCATCTTATATTGGAAAAGACACCCAAATTCATGTGGGTAGTTGGATCATTGGCCTTATTAATCTAACTGTTCACATTCGCTTGGGAATGTACTAATGGAAAAAATCTAAACTCTTCATCCAATTTTTGCCACAAATATCTTTTATGCACTTAGTTAATGTACAATATGGATGGTAATGGTGTGGTTATACATATAGACATAGTATCCATAAAAAGATCAATGCATCTAATCTGTTAATAATGCCTACAGACCGAAACAAAGTTTAATTATAATATGAATTATAGATTTCATCGAGAAATCCTACAGATAGATAGATAGATTTCGAATATATCAGTATATAAAATATAATCTGAATTACAATAAGCCACAACCCCAAGAAATGGTTGGAAAGTAACATTGATCTTGGCCTAATATTGTAGTAGGCGTAATAGTTAATAGGCCTTGAAGTTATATGTCTAAAGTTGGCCCATTTTCTAGTTCTTGTTTAGAATATTATAACAAAGTCTTGTAAGAAATTTAGAGATGCATTAACAAAAGTAGAGGGAAGATGGTAGAAGCTTATCCTTGACCCCTATATACAAGGACGCTTGTGCAACCATTTGAGCAAGCCAACACTTTGAGATTCAAGTTCAATACAATAATATTCATTCCTTTTCTTCTCTTATTTTGAAAATATTCTTCCTCTTCTAACCTTGTTTCACCTATAATCCTCGAATCTATTACCAAAGTACGGTGGTTTTTAAATATTATTACCAAAATACAACTGTTTTGAACTTATTTACCAATCTACGACAGTTTTTAAAGATAGAATCAATAAATCCGACTTTATGTAAAAGCGGAATTAACAAGTATGACTTTATGTTGAAAACGTATTTATTGAATCTGCCTTTTAGGTCAATGGTCAGATCTGTCTTCACATAGAAAGCGGACTCCATAAATCCGCTTTCTGTTGCATATTTCACCAGGGCCCATTTCGGTTATTTCACAATTTCCCTCTCTCTCCTCTCTTCTCTTTGGCATTTGAATGCAGAGCTCTTTCTCTCGCTTCTCTGTGCAGTGAGTCCATCTTCCTCTCTTCTCCCACCAAGGCCCCCCTTCCTCTTATGTTTGCTTTCGACTCCCACACTATCAGCTCTTCAAATGCACAAGCCCTAGCTGACCGTAGCCCTAAGATTGTACGAAGAAGACAATTGATCTTCTGCAAAATTTGAAACGTGAGATTCTCTTGACTTGCTATTGAGCCCTAATTGCAGTGATGAGATTGTTAATAGGCCTAGCTTACTCGGTCTTTTGTCAAATCGTGCAATGGACTGGTGCATACCCGTGGCTAGGTTTGGAGCAAGGAGAAGACAGGGCTTCACGTGGTGAACAGAAGACATTTTATATAACCAGGTACCTTACAATTGATTCTCTAATTCAGGAAATTACTAAGTTTAGAAAAAAATCCCCATTGTCCAATCCCCATCACTTGCTATTTTCAAAAATCCCCAAGTGTATCTCAAAAATCCTCATACTATTGCTTGCTCTTACTGCCTCCTTGTTTCGTCTTGCTGGTTTAGAACTGCATACTTACTTCAGTAAGTTACTGTGTGATGGTTTTTTGGATTAAAATTTTGTATTTTGAAAAAGAGTTACTGTGTGAACTGCATACTTACATAAAAAACGCTATGTTTTGGATTAAATTTGTTTTTTTTGCCTTAGTTATATTGATCTGTGCTTCTAATTCAGTGAAGGTGTTATAATGGATATAATTTAAATTGTTGAATTCTGAAATGACCCTTACAGTTTCAAGATAATAGTCCAATTAATTTTTTTGGTTTAGTATGAAAATGTTTAGTAGTATGAAGTTGTGGCAAATTTGCTATGGTTGTAGATAAAAAGAATGGTGTTGAGGGCAAAGTCAGTTATTCCGATTCTAGATTAGGAAGTTTATCTTTTAGCAAGAATCGTACTATGGGAGGCAAGATGTCACTATGAACAGTATTTAACCCCCTTTTTTCCTAGAAACTAAAAGATTTAACCTTGAAGAGATGAACTGTGGAGTTTCTTTTTATTTTCTTAAAGGTCCTGTTTGATTAGAAAGAAAACAGTGATAGGAAGTGAAAATACTAGAACTGAACTAAAAGAAAGGAAAAATAAAAGAAAATCAACTTTCCTACACGTATTCTGTTAATAGTGAAAAAAGTTATGACGAAAGGTGCAAAAAATTCATATTGTACTCTTTGAAGAAGATTAAATTGAAAGAAACTATTTTGACTTCCAAAATCAACCATTTGCTGGTCCTTGTAGAAACTAGTAAAGCTCCTTGATATGTATAAAATGAGCCGGAAAAGTAACACCTGTTCTTGAACTGCTAGGGCCTACACCCCCATATTAATATAAGATCAATTGCTGGTAGCTGAGAGTAGGCAAAGAGAGCATTAAAAGTTCGAAAGTTACGGTAATCCAATTTTCTTGAAATTTTCTCTTTTTTGGTAATAAAACACCAAAAAAGTCAAAAATATTTTTGGGTACTTCATTTCCATAAATTTGCATACCCCTGCGCTGATGGCATCCTAACTTTTGCTACCTCCTTAAAAATTCTATAGCCATTCCCATCACCACCTTCTAACTCAATATCACTACCATCGAAGCCTCATAATCACCATCACTATAAGACCACCACCATTACCATTGCTATAACAATTGCATGACACCAACATAGTTATCTCCTTTGCTACTCCAAGGGCTTTATATGCAAAATGTTGGGGACGATGGTCATGCCAACACTCATAGGCTTTGGCTATAACAACCAAGAACCAAAAGCAATAGAATCGTAAGTCATCCATGTAATCTCCACCATATTTTCTCTCTCCAGCTACTGCCATATGCTCCTTTGCCTTGTGCTCTCTTCCAAAAAAACAAGAAGTTTTCTTCTTCTTGTTTTCACCTTTTCTCCTTCACTTAATGTTATAGTTGAAGAGTTTTTACTAAGATCACAGGAAAATGAGTTTTAAAGCCATAAAAATTTCGATGGGCTTGTCATTTCCCTTTATTATTTTATGAGTTTAATATTGCTTTCTATGATCACCTACCCAAAAGATCCCACCTCACCACACACCACAACCAGTAGTGTTACATCTAACATCCACATTATGCTTTTTTTTTCCCTTCAGAATGCATACTTAACCTCCACATATATCACCAAAAGCACCTAACCCCAGTCCAAACCCCACCCCCACTTCCGAAAAAAATAGAAAAGAAAAATCCCCAAAACAAATAAAAGAGTTGGTCTAGTGAAAAGAGTTGGTCCCAAAACATAATCTAAAGTTAGTTTGCTTTCAATAAATTCAAAAAAAAATTTTTTTAAGAAAAAAGAAAATTTTATTCCATGAATCAGTGAATTACAAGAAGCAAAGGAATTGAAACAATTCTAATTACAAAGAGTTCGATTTAATCCTTCAAAAGGACTAAAACCATAGAACTACCAATCACAACCCAGCTGCCCAGCCATGAGAATGCAGAAACAGTCGAAGCTCTCAGATAGACCATAGGCTGCCTGCAGAATGTAATTAAAACTGAACCAGCTGCTGGTAGAACTCATGCATCATTCCAGCTTCAATGCATCTGGCATCAGCTTCAACACTCCAGAAGTGTAGTATAACAGTATTGCAACCAAAACAGCACAACAGTGCAGTATAACAGTTCAACACAGCAGAGCAGCATAGCAGACAGTCAAGGTAGTGCATTACACATGCAATACCTCACAGCACCAGCTAAGCATTTAACCTTCTCTATCCAATAAACAAACACAATCAGTAAAGCTAAATTCAATAAACAAAACACAATCATTGAAGTTAGTTTGTTGTCAAGTTCAAAACCAAAGAATTATGACAACCTTCCATTAACTCGTTTTCCAACCAATGCTTTGAAATACTTTTATTTTTTAGCGAGTGACAAACTTTCCATAACTCATTTTTCATTTTTCAGAATGTTGCTTTATTGCTATCATTGTTATCATTGTTCTCATAAATGGGTCTCGATCCTTTGTTAGCAAAAATTCTGAGGAAAACAATATCCTGTATTATTGATAATTTACATGAGGTTCTTGTATTGGAATATCAAAGAACAGTCAATCAAGTTATAAAAACTCAATACTAATTAGCTTTAGGAAAGATTTGGAACCATGACAAGGTCCATGAATCATGGTTTTAAAGCTTACAACAATATTGCAGATATTACTAGAAAAAAGGCATTATAGAGGGTTATCACGAGAGAGATAGGGTGTATGACATATAGTTGAATGACTTCTGGCACTTGTGGCATATTCAATATGGAGTCCAAGTTACTGCATGTTAGGGTAAGTTAATGGTTTGATGCATCACCAATTTTGCTACATGCAAGGGGGAAAGATGATTACACTATGTCTGAACTAAGCATTTATAGGTGAATAAATTTATTGGAAACTTCATATAAAAAACTTAAAACAAAATTTGAAATCTGAGTCAGATTAAAGTGAGCTTTGTGGTAGAAACAAACTTGACAATGAAGGAATACCTGCTAAGAATTGGGTTTCATAGGTAAGGAAGTTTTAAGAATGGAGAGCAAATTATGTTATATAGCAAAACTGAGTCTTTAATTGTTCAGATAGTAACTATTCTGATGAGTTTCTTATATATTAGTTGGAAGACATTTAGTATGAATTTAGTTAACGCAAATTTGTAATGCAATATCAGAACTTTACAACCTGTTCTTGGTTTTGTGGTATCTCAATCTTGAGCTTGCATTGTCAGGCTGATTGTGTTTATAGTGACTAGGATCAAGTTACAAATTTATTGACAGTGCGAAAGTTTTAGATGTTAATTTGCCCTTCCTTGGTTGTGTAGATGTGAGCTATTCAATACAACTTTTGATAAAGTTTTAATCCATGGTTATTAAAGATAAAAGGTTTAGAAGTAAAATATGTCATGCTTTCGAAGGCAGTAATATAAATATGAAAATTATTCGATATTATATTATATATTGAAGGTATAAAAATATCGAGGAGACGCGCCACAGTAATGTGCTATTGGGGAGGTAATATTATCTACAGTGAAGGTTGTTTATCGTACAATGGAAAGCCTCAACATTGTATAAAGTTAAAACAAGGAACAACATATGAAGAATTGTCTACCATATTGTACACGATAATGCAGCTAGACAATACAACATCACGACTACAACTAATTTGTCGGTTTCCAATATTTTTGGGGGATCACATGCAATAGTACATCGAATTTGAAATTAAAAATGATGTCGGGATCGCGACGATGGTAGATGCTGTATTTGAGAACCGTGCACTGAATAGTATTGACTTGTACATGCAGGCAGAGTCCATCCAACAGTTTCTTCAGCCAATGATGAATGAGTATGACCCGTATATCGAATTGCTGACACAGGAGAGCATCAATCTGTGTCCCAGTCAACAAGTGCATGACTTTATGGCAGATGATATTTTTACACCAGAGTTTAACTTGGGCCATGGAATTCTGTCGGCTGAGCCTTATGTGCCAGAATTACATATAGGGCCTAGTAGACGTTGATGTCTTTCAGATACACAACTTCATCTTCCATTGCTGGTATCCAATGTCATGGTCAATCAAGGACTGAAGTCATTCTAAATTTAGTTCAGTTAGATTCTCATTTGTTGGGGACCAATGGAATGTGTGCGGTTGCTCGTGCGGAACACACAGACAATAAGGATGAGGAGATTACATTGATGGACGATGTGGCAAACCTTAATGATAATGTTGACGAAAGTGGCCCATCATTCATATTGGAAGACACTGTTTGTATGCATGAGCCATCATCAGCCTTCTTCACCAATGATGAACTTCCCCAACTGTCTGCCCCCACCAATTAAACAAGAGCTCCATTGTTTGACTCAGATCGACTTGAATTATCCATCGGCCTAATCTTTAAGGGTAAACCAGAATTGCAAGATGCAGTCAAGATTTATTCCATCAACAATCATGTTCAATTCGAGGTTGTTGAGAGTGAAAAAAAGTTATTGGCTGTGCGGTATAAAAATATCATTTGGGGTGCAAGTGGAGGCTTTGAGCTATTCAAAAGAAAACGCACGGGTTTTTTCAAATTACCAAATATGAAGGCCCACACACTTGTGTGCACGTGTCAGCCACTCAGGACCATGTGCAATTAGATTCTCAATTTGTTGCACGCCGAATAAAAGAGCTCGTCAGGGCCGATCCATCTCTGATGGTTGTTTTGCTAATAAAACACATTGCCACTGTGTATAAGTACGATATATCGTATCGAAAAGCATGGAAAGCAAAACAAATTGTGCTAGCAATGATATTTGGTGATTGGGATGAATCATATTCTATTTTGCCAAAATTTCTTGCTGCACTGCAAAAGTATAATCAGGACACAATAGTCAGGTGACAAGTTGCCGACCTTGGAAATGGAATGGCTGTATTTAATAGAGTCTTTTGGGCATTTAAACCGTGTATTGATGATTTTTGATACTGTCATCCACTTATAAGTATCGATGCCACATTCTTGTATGGGAAGTGCAAGGAAAAGTTGTTAATTGCTACGGGTCTCGATGGAAATTATCAGATTTTTTCTCTAGCATTTGCCATCGTCGATGAGGAAAGCATAGATACATGGGCTTGGTTTTTTTGGAGACTTAGACAAGATGTTGTCGGTGATCGTCTGGGCATATGTATGTTATTTGATCGACATTAAGGTATAATTCAATCAGTGGTTGCTCATGGTTTTGGATGGCAAACACCGTATGCATACCATCGATATTACTTATGACATATCCAGAGTAACTTCAACAGTAAGTTTCATAACTCTCATCTTAAACGTCTAGTATGGGATGCTGATTCTGCATATCAAATCCGCAAGTATGACAAAATTATAGCAAAAATCTGTGAAATCAACCCAATGGCCGTTCATTGGCTTGATCAGATACCAAAAGAGCAGTGGGCACTTGCACATGATGGTGGAAGACGTTATAGAGTCATGGCAACCAACATTGCAGAGGTGTTCAACTTTTTCTTAAAAAAAGCAAGACATTTACCGATCATGTCATGTGTTGAAACAATATTTTACAAAGTTGTCCAGTATTTCAATGATAGGCGTGGTTCGGCGTCCGATAGCGGGTGCACTTTCACACCTAACGCTGTGGAGAAGTTGACGTATGTTTCAATCAAAAAAGTCGGTCAAAATGTTATCACTTTCAGTTGTACCACTGGAGAGGCATATGTTGTCACCAAAAAAGAGAATGCACAAGTACTAAACATTTTAGACTACACATGTTCATGTGGAAAGTGGAACACCTATAAAATGTCATGCTCTTATTCGATGACGTTTTTTATAAAGAGGCATTTACACCCATGGCAGTGCGTAAATGAGATATGCACTGTTGCCGCCCATGGTGCTGTTTGGTCTAGTAAATTTCATCCACTACATCATGGTGACTATTGGGATGCGGTCAGTGGTCCAATAATTTGTCCTAATTCGAATCTACTACAGACGAATGGTCGTCCCCAATCTACTTACATCTGAAATGAAATAGACCTACAACAGGGTCGTAGTACGTATCAATGCAAATTGTGTGGTCAACCTGGGCACGATAGACGCACATGCCCATCAAAAACGACATAAGATGTGCGTATGTGTCAGTAAATGTGGATGAGTATATAATTTGAGGCTGTAATAAATGAACACTGTTCATGTAAATAACTATGTTCACATTATTTAATGATGAAAATGTAGTACTGGTGTGTATGTCATTACATTCCTCATGGTTATATTCAATGAATATTCATTTTTTGTACTTGTTGCAGATCTCTAATTCAACTGAACTATGTCTACATCCCAAGGACCAATAGTTGCGAA